AGCATTCTTATCAATGGAGAAGAGATTGAGGTTGTCAAGGACTTCATTCTTCTTGGATCAACTATCAACACTCACGGAAGCAGCAGTCAAGAAATCAGGCACATAGTAGGCACTCTATAAATATTTGTTGGATACATTTTAAGAATCTAGATTTTGGACTATATTGCAAGCATTTCGTTATTTATAAAAACTATACCCACTGCCATCTACTCGATTCCAACTCATAGGGACCCTATTGTTAAGTCCCTTTGAGTTGGTTCTGACTCCTAGTGACCTGCATAGGGTTTTTAATTAGTGTCTAATGAGTTTGAACTGGTGACCTGCAGTTAGCAGTCATATGCTTATCCTACAATGCCACATAGGGACCCATTTTGTTGTTGTTAAGTGCTGTCAAGTTGGTTTCAACTCATAGTGATCCTGTATAGGGTTTCCAAGGAGCAGCTCGTGTTTGAACTGTCCACCTTGTGGTCTAGTGCTGCACAGGACAGAGTAATTTTGCTAGTTAAAGATCCTAGGTTACCACAGTCTCCATGTCTTAGTCAGAAAAGCTAAAGTAAGGCCCCAGCAAGTCTGCAGAGCTGCAGGAAATGCCTGTTACCTGCTGGGCCGGGAGACAGCAATGCACTTCCAAGTAATAAGAGGAACACAGGCTTGAAAAACAAAATGCTTTATTTTACTTTAATGCACTCCATAAGTATTAAAAGTTGTTTTGACCTCTTACAGGGGAGAAGTAAAGCTGTCCCAGTTATCAAAAAATTCAAATCTCCTTTTCTTAGTTGTGAAAATACTCTCGCTCTCATCCAGGGAGTCTCCTAGGTCCTGGGAACTACTTCCAGATGTCCCTGAAGCACTTCCTGGGTCAAAGGACTCCAGTGCCTCTAGGAGCTCCATATCACTTACATCTTCCTCAAAGGACTTCTGGAAGAATTCATAGATCTTCTGCTGCTTTGGGTCCTTCATCAGACAAAGAAAAGGAAAGATGAAAGAAAGCACTCAGACCCCTCCCTTGACTCTCCTCTTATGGCTGGTGACAGAGCAGAGGTCTCAAGGGAAGTCCCAGGGGACACTGTCAGGGTCTCCATGGAGGCTGCTTGGCACTAATGTCCTTCTTCAGGAGCTGCGGCCCTTCTCACCCTCCTTTACTGACTTGTTCCTCCACCCCTAGCATGAGCTCACCAACCCTGAAGCTTGCTTCTCCACATTTTTGAGTGGCTGCTGTAATTTGATGCCATACAGACAGTTTTAAAAATGAGGACAAGGCTCAAGGCTGATCTCTTCTCTTCAAACAATGGTGAGAGTGATGAAGAATCTGTTCTTACACCAAACTACTTTATGTCGGAAATGTTCCCTCTCCTACCTTTCCAAATTAATTATTTCCATGGTGAAATAGATCCCACAGGGCATGAACACATCTCTACCACATTAAGACATTGATACCTGTCCTTGGTTACAAATGGCCAAAATGCCCACTCTGTGCATCTGTGCATTGCTGCCGATGATGCAGTGTTAAAACCATGGTCAGCAGTTCTACCCCAGACTCCGTTTGGCTCATTATCAGCCCTTTGCCACTCCTGGAGTCCTGGTGTGGCACTGTGGGTTAATGTTCCAGACTGCAAAGCTGTTTGAACTTCAAGGCCGGTGGTTCAAGCTCACCAGCTGCTCCTCGGAAACCTTATATAGGGTCGCTATGGGTCGGGACTGACTTGATGGCGCTTAACAACAACAAGCCAACCACTCCCAAGTCTAAATTTCCAACCCTGACCACCTTTCCATCAGATGCACACTCTCAGTATCTCTACCGACAGCCCAGTTTCCCAAAAGGAAACTTGCCAAAGCCAAACCATACCTCATCCCACTCCTATGACCCCAAGCCAGCTCAGAATGAGTCTACAGAGGATAGTGGATCACCATTCTTATTGTCTCCTGGCTTGAGATGCTACCGGTATCCTGACTCTCGGTCCCACACATCAAACTGGCAGCTAGCTTGTACCTCCTCTATCACTTCCCGCCTCTATTTCACATCTTGACCAGGTGACATACTTCATATGTCACCTGGATCCATTTGCAATGGGATTTGAAAGTGTTCAATGGAGTATGTTTGCTGTAGTAAATTCTCTTCCTACTACAAATACCTCGCAGGTCTTTGCCAGATTATTTTTCCATCCTGTCCAAGATTTTATCATGGCATTGGACTACCCTGGGTCTCCCTCAGAGCCCTGGCAACACAGTGGTTAAAGCACTCAGCTGCTAACCAACAGTACAGCAGTTCAAATCTACCAGCTGCTCCGTGGGAGGAAAAGGTAGTATCAGCTTCTATAAAGATTGTTGTTGTTAAGTGTCGTGGAATTGGATCTAACTCATAGCGACTCTGTATAGAGCTTCACAGGAGTGGCTGGTGAGCTAGAACCGCCGACCTTGCAGTCTAGTGCATTAACCCACCGCGCCATTACAACCTTGGAGCCCGTGGGAGCAGTTCTACTCTGTTCTATAGGGCTGCTGTGAGTTGGAATCGACTCGACAGCAGTAGGTTTGGTTTGGGTATCTACCTCATTGGGTCTAAAGTTGCTTCCCTGGCTTGTCAGATCCCATCCAGTGCCTTCGAGTGCATTCTGACTCACAGTGAGCCTAGAGCATGGAGAAGGGCCCCACCAAGGTTTTCTAGGCTTTCTCCCTAAGAGCCCCACTGGGTGGGTTTGAACTGCCAACTTTTCAGTTAGCAGTTAACTGGTGCACCACCAGGACTCCTTTTTTCAGGTTCTGGTGGCCATGATTTCCTCAGTGCTCCTTAACAGATTCCCTCCACATTGCTGAAAATGAAACTCCTTGAAAACTGATCATGGAGCACAACATCTAAGAATTCTCAAATATTCAATTAAGCAAGGCCCTGCATTCCCTGTCTTCCAGGAGCCCAGTCTTCCAGCACAGAAGTGGTACTAAAGATCAAGGTTAGCCCCACCCTGTGCACTCCTCGGGGGCATCCTCACTGGACTCCGTCTGAACTGCAGGGTCTCAGAAACGCTGCCTCACACAGCAGCCGGTTCCAAGCAGAAATGCCTGTTACTGTGCAGGTAAGTATGGTGAGGGCAGCGCTGTCTGCCAGCTCAGAGCACGCACAATTGACTGAAAGCAAGTTACAAGATCACATTAATGTTTCCTTCCTCCGTTTGGTAATATTTTCAGCCCTATCTTTATAAAAAGATAAATTGGTGTGGTTCTTAATAAATGATGAACTCCATTTATATTACACTGCACTTGTACTTGAGGCAGAAAAACTCCTGATTCTGAGTAACTGAGGGAAAGGCCAGTAGGGATACGTGAGTTCGAATGTGAGAGTCCTTTAAAAATAAGGTTCTTTCTTTTCCAAGGGCATGTAATAACCCAGGGGGTGCAAACACTGGCCACTCAACTGAATTAAGAGTTCTTTGAAAACCTTGAAAATGCAGATGTTTTAAAATGGGCGTATAAACTGTACCTGAAAGAATCATAACTGGTATTCTACATTTAAAAAAGATGACCTTCAAGCCTTGTGTACCCCAGGAATTACATTAGAAAGAACAGATTTATTTGCTAACGTAAGTGACAGAGCAACTAAACCCTCAAACTCTTAAGTCTCAAGAGTCACCCAGAGGATTCTGTTGGTTTCATTCAACTCTGCAGGCTACTCCTTTGTGTGACGCTCAAGGTCCAAGCTCTCTAGTTAAAAGACACTTCCCTCCAGGAAGAGACACCTCCCATGTTCTTGCCAACCGCCTGAGCTCAGCCTCTTCTCTACTCCATCACATTGCTTGAAAAGGAGGTGGGAAAGGCCGAGGCTGCCACTGGGCTGAGGGCAGTTCTCACCAGAGGAAACAGGCCTTCTCCCCAGCCTGGAAGATGCCCACCAGCCTCTCCTCACTCTACTTTGTAGGTGTGGCCTGAGTCAGGAGCTTTTTCCTGGGGCTGGCTCCACATGACTTGTGTTCCTGCGCAAGCAAAATGCTCCATCATGTCTCACTTTTCAAACCAAAACCCAATTCCAAACACTGTGAGGAGACGGCTCTGACTTTGCGGCCCCACGGTGTGCCCGAGTAGAACTGTGTTCCCCAGGTCTTTCTTTCTAGGCAGCCCTGGCAGACTCGAACCTCCAACCTTTCAGTTAGCTAACGGTTTATACCAGCTGGGGTGGGGCAGGGTAGAGGGGGAAATGCGCTGTGGAAAGCAGTACCCTCTTTGAAAGAGGCCCCGCTCCAGCACTGGGAGCCCTTCTGTTTAGTGTTGTTGTGTACTTTCTGCAACAATTGAGCGGCGGCCACGGGGAGTTTTCGTTCAGTTTCTAATGGCCTGATGGGAAAGGCGCAGCCTTGGGAAGGAAGCCATGGGTTTAGGAGACCCCACAGGGGCTGGGAGAGACAACCGTCAGTACAGTGCCATCATTTTCACAGAGACTCAGAAACGCATGTGGAGGCTGCACTGAGAACTCGGCAGGCCTGCCATGTTCCAGCCCTGGGTGGCGGGCACTGCCAAGGGTGTTGCATGCTGCCGGCGTTACCTTGTCGAAGTAATCAGTGGCTTCTGTCATTTCTGAAAAATGGGTCTCAGAAAGCCCGGCTTCACTCAGAACTTGAATCTTCTCTTGAATCAGGGGCCTATTGGGGAGAAATGAGCTGCATGGGAGAGTGTGGGAAACCAGTGGTTTGACCAAAGCAGGGCTACCCTGCTGGTTCTCATGGGGCTGTGATGGGCTGACTGTGCTACATCTTGGCATCTCTAAAGGCTACCCCGAGATGTTGGTCACCTTTCAACTGTCAAGCAACCCAGATCAGCGCTCATAACATCACGCGGTTCAAAATGATTTCTAATGGAAGATGTGTAGGAAGTACACACCACCTCATGACAAAAATATGTTGAACTTAGTGATGTTCTGAGCTGCCCAATTAATACTCCCAATGAACAAAGAGAAGTTGGGTTGACCCTCACACCTTACCAAAGTGAGATACCTCAGTCCTAAAGCTGGAAACAGAGATGTGGGGTGGGAAGACAGGAGATAAGCAGGGAACTTCATATCATAAAACAGAGATGGGTGGGGTACTTTGGAAACGTTTGCTTAGGTGATAGGCAGGGACCCTCAGGGCTGAACATTTTATCGCTGCCTCTGCTCACTGCCCAGGTGAGCGGTGTTCTCTCTGTGGTCCAGCACAGCATGTAAAATATGGGCCATCAGATAAACACACCTCATTACGTGGACGAAGGAGGCCATGCCCCGGTCCCGACAAGCAGCTTCAGGTTTGAGAAGAGTGTTTTACACATGAAATCCCACCACCTCATCACATCAGCCCCTTCTTGTCTCAGAGCCCTGGGAAAAGGGCCACCTTGGCTCCCTCAGACCACCAGTGATGGTTAGTAACATAGCCAAACAGAGTGGCATGTGGGAGGGCATGGCTGAAGAGTCTTCTGGGTGGGACCTAGGGGTCTTAGCAGAAGCACTTAGAGAGCAAAGAAAACACATCCTCGGTGTCAACCCTAGCAGAACCCCAACCAGCAGGCCATACCAGAGGTAGTCATCCGCTGTGCCTCTTGCCACGAGGTAGTGAATGCCCACGGAATTGGTCTGTCCAATGCGGTGCACCCGGTCCTCAGCCTGCATCAGCACCTGCAGGTCCCGGGAACCAGAGACATGGGTGAAGGCCTACCATGGCAAGCAGCTTTGTGGCCCCTCTGAGCCCCAGCCCCACCCTCCTCAAAGTGTCTCACTGCCGAATATCATGTGGTGGGGGACCTACAAGCCCTGACCTACTATAGACTTGCCATTTTAATAAATGTGAGAGTCTAACAAAACACAGGTTAGGGAACTAGAATCAGGAGCTAGTCACGAGGGATGTGATTTTGGTGCCGGGCGCCATGTTACTAGGTGTTCAAGAAGGGTCAATAGAGGCAGACAGGGGAAGACTGCATTTATATGTCTTTTCTGTGTGAAATAAAACAGATGTCCAAATACAATAAAAATATACCATCCAGGGGAGAGGCCATAGATAAATAGAAGGAAAAACAAACAAAACAAAACAAAACCAGTTGCTGTGGAGTGGATTCCGACTTGCGATCTCATGATTATCAAAGAGCTGTGTTCCACAGCATCTACAATGGTGGAGTTTTTGGAAATAGATTCAAGCCTTTCTTCCAAGGCATCTCTGGGTGGATTTAAACCTCCAACGGCCACGAGAATTAGCTAACTGTCTGCACCATCCAGGGACAGACTCCAGAACTAATCAGAGGGCAGGGTACTTTTCTTAATCGGATGGGAAGTCTTATAATGAATAACTACAACCACAGGGTACTGCCTCTGCTGTACAATGTCTGGAACCTTCCATGTGCATCTCCGCTAAAGTGATCACTGCTCTATGGAAGCCGTCCGTGCCAGGGCAGACAGCAGGAAGCACTGTCAGCTGCTCAGAGAAGAGGCTGTGAGTTCAAACAAGCAAGTCTTGGCTGTCTGTTGTCACAACCCTCAGACGTGGTCCTGGCAGCTACAGCAACTCTCCAATGGCCGGAGTCTCAGAGGCCGGGGTGCATCCACATGCTCCCCTCGGTGATGTGGTCCTGGGCTCACCACTCAGCCCACTGGGCCCTCATTTCTTCACCTGAAGATGAACTTTCAGATTCCTCCTAGTCTTCTGAAACTTCACACTTCCCATTATTAAATGGTATCAACAATCCCACTACTTAGTGCAGACCCAATGACTGGCTAGAAGATGGGCCGGTGCTCAGAAGAGGCCAGCAGGGCCACAGGGAGGAAAAGGAAACTGGCAACGGCAAAAACCCCTGGGAAGCCTGACCTCCCCCACCCAGGCGCAAGCCTTCTGCATCCCTTACCCCTGGGTTCCAGAAGAGCTCGGCAAAAACCACCAAGTCTGCGGTGGAGAAGGTGAGGCCCATGTTGGCGGCAGTGATGGACAGCACCGCCACGGCGGGCCTCTCAGACAGCTGGAACTGGCGGCACAGGTCCTCTCGGTCTGCAGAGGAGGTGGAGCCGTCGATGCGGATGTGCTGCACGTGCTGCGGGATCAGGAGGCAAAGCCAAGGTGGGCCAGGCGGCCGCAGAGTAACCCTGCTCCCAGATGGAGACAAGACTGAGGGCCCACCTGGCCTCTGACTGAACTGAGACCAGTGAGCCAGTTCCTTGCAAAACTGCAGTGCAAGGTCACAAGCAGTTAACACTGACACAATCTACGGATCTTACTCAGAGTTCTCCTGCTTTGTCGTCACAGTGATTCCAGCTCACAGCGACCCCATGTGACAGAGTACAACTGTCACATGGGGTTTTCTAGGCTGTCATCTTTGTAGGAGATGGCCAGGTCTTTCTTCCGTGAAGCTATTGGGGGGATTCAAACCACCAACTCTTCTGTTGGCAGAAGAGCATGTAACCATTGCACCACTAGGGATCATTTCCCCAGTTTTACTTGCACTCGTCTGTGTGGGTGTGTGTGTACGCATTCTATAGCATTTTATCCCCGGGTCAGGTTTTCAGGCATCCACCTCTATGGTCAGTCCTGACATCTCAGACACTGAATTGTAGCCCTTCGTGGACCACACCTTCTCTCTCCTCCCCCACCTGAGTCCTAGTCCCTGACAACCAATCTGTCCTGCATTTTTAAAATGATATCACGTCAGGAATGCTATGTAGATGGAATCATAGAGTATGTAAGCTTCTGAAGTTGGCTTTTGTCACTCAGGAAAATCCTCTTATTTTCTTTAAGGAAATTCTGGTGTGGCGCTGTAGGATAAGCACTGGACTGCAGATTGCAAGGCTGGTGGTTCAAAATCACCAAGCTATTCGTTGGAAGCCTTATACTGACCGGGTCGCTATGAGTCAGAACTGACTTGATGGAACTTAACAACATTTTCTTTAAGTGGCATTTGCTTATTTTTTTCTAATGGCAAATATTACGAAAGTAAAAATATTAGTAATCTTATCAAATCTCCTTCCACTATTTTCTTAATGGGAGCCCTGGTGTGGCACTGTGGGTTAATGTGCTGGACTGCAAAGTTGGTTTGAACAGCAAGGTCGGCAGTTCAAATTTTCCAGATGTTCCTCGGAAACCCTAGACAGGGTGGCTATGGGTCAGACTGGCTCGATGGCATTTAACAACCACAACAACAAATCTTCCCAATGTACCTACCTTTCTAAGAAAAATTCTATAGGATGCTTTCCCTAATAAAGAGAATATTATAAATAAGCTAAATTATTTTTCTAAAAAACAAGCATGATTTAAAATTTCATTATGTAGTGATACAGTAATTTAACATTCTTCTATTTCTGTCGATATAGGGTATCACTAATTTTCACTCAAAGAAGGACAAGTTGGCAAATGTCTATCAAGCGGTGATTGGAAAAACACAACAAGCCTGTGGAATGTGCATAGAATGGAACACTATTCAGCACTGAAAGGAACAAATGATTGACACATGCAAGAACATGGATAAATGTTAAAATATTTCTACTGCATGAAAGAGACGAAACAAAGAAACAACAATAATATATAAAAATGCAAATGAATCTACAGTGACAGAAAGTAGACCAGTGGTTGTCTGGGGATGGGAGGGTGCATAAGGGGGAGGGATCACAAAGGGGCTCCAGCAAACTGGGTGGGGGGTGGCTGAAATGCTCACAGTCTTCTCTTACTGTGCATAGTTAGCAAGTTGTACACTTTAGATATACGCAGGTTGTTGTTGTTGTTGTTATGTGCCGTGGAGTTGGTTCCGACTCATAGCGACCCTATACAGGGTTTCCAAGGCTGTAAATCTTTATGGGAGCAGAACGCCTCATCTTTCTCCCGCGGAACAGCTGGTAGTTTCGAACTGGTGACCCTGAGGTTCGCAGCCTGACTTGTAACCACTATGCTACCAGAGTGCCTTTAGTATCTGGCAATTATACCTCAACAAAGCTACTAAGGAGACTTTGTCTCAGGTACTTTGGAACACGGTATCAGCAGAGACCAGCTCCCAGAAAAGGACAACACGCTTGGTAAAGTAGAAGATGAAAAAAACAGAGGAAGACGCCCAGGAGATGGACTGACAGAGCGGCTACAACAATGGTTCACACAAGAAAACAAGTGTGAAGACGACGTACGACCAAGAGTCGGGACCGACTCCATGGCATCTAGCAACAACAGGGCTATTAAGAGAAAAAGGGAAAAGACTTTAAAGGATGAATAGAAATGTCCAATCATGAGTCTCTGCCCACATTTCTTACTTCCTTAGACTAGCTACTAAAAATCATAGTCCTATGTCAAATTGCTTTCTAAAAAGGCAGCATGTATGACCACATCTACCTCATTGCACCTTTGTCAGCAGTGGACACCACTGCATTCTAAAATCCTGTGCGGATTTGATAGGTTCAAAAAGTATCTTCTTTTACATTATTCAATTATTTTGAGTACCAGTGGAATTGAATTGTTTCCTACCTTATCAGCCACTGGTTTATTTCTTTGATGGAACTACCGATTCCCATACATGGTCCATTTCCCCCACTACTGGGCATCACTATAATCTTTGTATAGGAAGGGTAGTATTTGTATGTAGTATAAATTGTTAACATACTCCCTGGTTTAGCTCCTTTCGTTCATTCTTTGCCCCCACAAGAAGCTCTTAGTTCTGTCATTATTACTATTACATTGTCATTTACGAGTGACCGGGCTACGGCAGCTGCTGAGGAGGAACAGGGCCGTGCATGAATCACAATACTGCTCTGGCCCACGGTCACCCATTAGCCAACCACAGGAAGTACCTGTCATCCACTTCTATTTGCTTTCTAAATGCTTCTGTATAGTTTGAAATATCTGTAATTTTTCTGACTACAAAAAGAATACATAATTGTTATAAAAATACAGGAGGAATAAAAAGACGAGAAGGACTACCTAGAGATGACCACCATGAATGTTCTGGGTGTCTATGACTCGGGCTCTTTTCTATGTGTCACAATCTTTGGAAACCATTATACATACAGGTTTGTACTGATACATTGTGGGCAGTTTTCCATACCAATACACCAGGGCTTCCAAAAGTTTGTAGAAAATGGGATTAAAAAATAATGGAATTTTTCCACAAACTTTTTTGAGAGCCCCTTGTATATACCAACCAGAAACTAACTAACAGCTTCAATTTTAGAATTCCTCCATTACTTACGGGGTCAAGTGATCTCCAAGAAGTTATGGAACATCATCTACATTATCATTTATTATGGCTGAATTATATGACTATAATTTACTTAATGGTATATACCTACTAATGGACACTTACTTTCCTAATTATTCACTATTACAAACAACATAACTACGATTCTTGTACATACATCTTTCTGTACTGGTCTGGCTATTTACAGTACAGGGAGTTTGGAATATGAGTAACAATAAGTTATGGCCAAACTGCGCTGCGAAAAATATATGAAATGTTCAAAGGTTCCGTGATTTAACCTTGTGCATGTGTGTGACAGACAGGTCCACACTTAAAGCTAATAGAAACCCATTTCCTTTGTAATTTCTTTCATTGTTTTTACGCACAGAAAGTCATGCTTCATCTACCTGTCAGCTAGACGGTCATCAATCTTTTCTTCTAATACTTGATGCTTTCAAGATCTTTGATTTCTCTGGAATTTAGTATCACAAATTGTGATGTACAATTTAAATTCTTCTCCTAGTTACATTATCAACTACTCAAACTTCATTTGTTGAAGCAATAAAACTTGATTTGGGAGAATTCTTTGATTACAGGCTCACTTTGAATTTCGACTCATGGACCATTCTATTTTGTCCATTTGGCCACCAGCTCTCGGGCCCTCAGGACTGAGTTTCACTGACTGGTGCTTTACAATGTCTGCAGGGACAAGTCCTCTGACACTGTACTGCTTTTTCAAAATTGTCTTAGTGTTATCTCCTGCTTAGGTTTTGAGACACTCTGTGGAAAAACAGTATAAAGTTCCCTTTACAAATACAATTGAACGAAACCACAGATTAATTTAGAGAAGACTGGCATTGTTTACACGTTTTAGCCTTTCACAGGGAGAATGGCACAAGTTTCTCTAATTCTTCATTTGTTTCTGCACTCTCCTCAGTAAGATTCTTTAAAGTACTTTATGGTTTTTGTTGGCCGTTATAAAGTTGATCTTTTCCCATACATGGACTTGTTAGTTATAGTTGGCCCATAAAAAGCAATTTATTTTAGTATATTTATTTGGAATCCAGAAACCCTGTTGTACCCTTAGAATATCCTAATACTTTTTAAATTAATTGCAGTGGGTTTCTTAGGACTAGTGATGTTGTTGTTGTTAAGTGCCATCGAGTCAGTTCCGACCCATAGCGACCCTGTAACAGGGTTTCCGAGGGTGTAAATCTTTACGGGAGTAGAAAGCCTTATCTTTCTCCCGTGGAGCGGCTGGTAGTTTCGAACCGCTGACCTTATGGTTCACAGCCCGATTAGTAACCACTACGCTACCAGAGCTCCCTAGGACTAGTGATAGCGTTGGCTTTTTTCTTTGTAGTGCTTACAGCTTTTAAGTCAATTGGCTGGCTTCCTGCATCACATCATATAACAGAAAACTCAAGCCCGAGTGGAGTAAAGTCCTACCTCTAACATTATCAGACAAAAAATATACGAGAGGAAGATTTCTTATATCGTCATAAAATGCACAAATCATCCAAAACATATAAAAGGACACAGAGCTCACTGGTAACCAGGGAAATTCCAATTAAAAGCAAAGAGGAGACAACAGTTCCTTTGACTGAAGGGCCAAAAGTAAGAAGTACAGTCATATCACGTGCTGATGAACATACAAAGCAGGAGAATTCTTAGCTGTTGCTGGTGAGAGTATAAACAACCGTCTGGGAGAGCAATCTGACAACCTAGTAATGCGGATGAGTCCATCCAGGGACTAAGCAAGGCCATGCCTGGAGATAACCATGCACACAGTACACAAGGATCACACAGGTGTGGGTAAACACGCACATAAACACGTGTTAAGCGGGGTAAGTGACGTAGCTGGGAAAGTATTTTGACGCCAGTGTGGGTCTACTACAAGCAAGAATTCTTCTTTGGAAGTCTTCAGCAATGCTTGTAAGAACTGTCATCTTACATCTTTGCTGGGATCTGACTGAAGCCTACAGAGAAGCTGACATACCATCAACAAAAGCACTGTGTTGGGTTTCAAAGGGAACTTACCTTTTTCTCCAGCTCGTTAGTAATTGCATCCAAAACCACTTTATGGTGCGCAAACACTAGAAACTTCTCTTTTCCACTTTCCAGTAAGTCCAGGATATATTCACTGCATTTAACAATGACAAACAATGTCAACATATGCTCATCCAGTTGGGCTGAATTACTGAAAAGTGACTGTCTCTGTAGTAGAAACCTTTGGGGTCCCTGGCCTCCCAGTCTATTCATTCTTTTCTCTGGGAGTTGATCTCTCTCTCTCCCCTTCCCTCATGCAGAACATCTGAACAGGAAACGTGAAATTTGGAGCTGAGAGGCAGGCAAAGAGACTTCTTTTACCCTTCTGAGTCAAAGTGCTGCTTCCATGTTTTATGTGTACCCTTATGTTACTGAAACATGACTGTCTGGGAGAATAATGAACAGTTTTCATTTCAGCTGCCATTACTATAATGTGTTTTCCATCATACTAAAGTGCTCTGGTTAGCGTAGTGGTTATGAATCGGGCTGTGAACCTTAAGGCCAGCAGTTTGAAACTATCAGCCGCTCCTCGGGAGAAAGATGAGGTGTTCTGCTCCCATGAAGATTTACAGCCTTGGAAACCCTGTACAGGGTCGCTATGAGTCGGAACTGACTCAACGGCACTTAACAACAACAAAAAAAGTGTGTTCTGTAGATTTCAAAACCCCTGAGTAGGGGGCTAAGGAATTCTGCACAATAAGTAAATTTCTGAGGCTTGGTGTTGAGACACAGAAACAACACAGATGAGGCCTTCAGGGAGCGCCCAGTGTTCAGGAACAACTCTGGTTCCTGCCTCCTGCAGACCTCTAGCTACGGAGCTAATAGTTTAGTTAGCAAAACTGACTGTGTTTCTGAGGGGAAAGAATATAGAGTGAAGCATCTCATTACTTCTTCCTTTAACTTAGTTCTCTTCTCCACACCTGTGTTGTATCTTCCAGGCCATGTTTGGCCCTTGCCCTAAAGGAAGGCAACTGCTCCCAGGGAGCTGTAGGGCGGAACCACCCAATTAGCAGACCCTCTGTTTCCCCCAAGATTAAGGCCCTGCAGAAGTTCTCCATCCCAAAGAACAGGGAAGCCTAGTCTACATAAGTGCAACTCATGGTCAACTGGGCAGCTGGGCTGCCTGAGGACACACAGTGTCCACTCTGGCCTTGGTCAGCACACACACCACATCCCTCCCCCACCATGTGTCTGGACAGAGAACAGACATGACGTGCCTTGAAGACAAACCTCAACAGTGTGCTGTTAACCAGAAGTGGGAGAAGGTAAGCAGACTGTACTCCAAAAATCTAAATATTATTTATGAGCAGCACCATGACTGACCATGGTGCCCGATCTCAGTTCTGTCTGTGAACACTAATAGAATCTGCTTTAATTAGTTTGAGAGACATAAAATTTGCCATGACATAAGCAAAAAAGTTTATTGTTACAGCATCAAAAAGTTACAAGGCCACAAAATTGACTTAGTTGGCTCATAAAACCCACGGCCCCCAATTTTCCTAATGTCTCTGTGCCCTCAGGGTTTCAGACAACTCTGCTGCTCCGCCCTCCCCCAAGTTCCTAAGTGACCAGGCTGGGATATTTGCTAACACAATAAGCTTTGATTTGACATCAAAAGATGCCTATTAAAATGAAAACAAGTCAACAGGAAAAAGAAAAAAGGAAGACAAACAACTTGTAGCAGAAATTGGGATTTTCAGATCTACAATTTTCCTTGAATCCTGGGTAACATTTAGCTCACTCTTACTAGCTGTGTGCCTCTGAGTCTAGAGATTATAAAGTATCTACATTAAATAAAAGAGCCCATAATACGTGTTTTATAGTCCCTGAGTGGTGCAAAGAGTCAACTGTTAACTGAAAGGTTGGATGCACCTGGGAGAAAAAGCCTGGTGACCCATTTTAAGAAAAATCAGCTGTTGAACGTCCTCTGGAGTGGAGATACACACAGTCACCATGAGTCCGAGTCAACTCCACGGCAACGATACTTTTTACTAATTTTTTTTTTAATCTCAAAAAGATGCTGAAAATGTGGAATGAATGAACAGATATAAAATTTGTTCGGACATTACACAACATTGTACAGTTTACGTCTGTATTCTGAAAGTATGGAGACGAGATGGCCATAGTTTATTGGTGAGGTAGCCAAGTGGTTCGATTTCAAACTTGCCAAGGGAAATGGTGGTTCTGGCCCAAAATCGAGAGAGAGAGCGACACCCCTGAATTCTATTTCCTGGATCACAAGCTCAGGGAGCAAAGGGGAAAACTCACATCTTGACCACCTGTTACTAAGTAGCCCAGGAGAAATGGGTGGGTGGGGGACAACTCTGACTATTTCTACAAGAAAAGTTTCCAGACCATAAAAACCACACCTGAATTTCATGAATCTCATAAACCCCAAACTGAAAAGAAATCTGTTGTCACTAGGTTGATTTTGACTCAGTGACCCTGTAGGACAGAGTAGAACTGCCCAATTAAGACTCCAAAGCTGTAAATCTTCACAGAGCAAACTGCCACATCTTTGTCCCATACAGACTGCTGGGTTCAAACCAGACCTTTCAGTCAGCGGCCAAGTGCTTAAGCCCGACACTACCAGTGCTATCAGTCTCATTACAACGTCATACATGAGAAGTACAGTACCCAGAGGAGGCAGGAAGGATGACAGCGCCCAGCAGTCTCTTTGTAGGGAACCTTTGTTGTTGTTGTTGTTAAGTGCCGTCGAGTGGGATCCGACCCATAGCGACCCTGTACAGGGTTTCCGAGGCTGTAAATCTTTACGGGAGCAGAACGCCTAATCTTTCTCCTGCGGAGTGGCTGGTAGTTTCAAACTGCTGGCCTTAAAGTTCGCAGCCCGATTCGTAACCACTACGCTACCAGAGCTCCTTAGATTTGAGTAATGCAGTGAAACATGCTCTCAGCACACTCACAAAGGACGTGGAGTGAGAGCCCAGTGGGACAAGGAGACCTGGGGGTGCTGAACAGACAGGGTGGGCCACCACTTCAGTCCCCACCGCCAGTCTAGTGTGCTCAGCCCACACTAAACTCACGGTCATTGTCATCGAATCATTTGGACCATTATCCTGCCAAGTTTCCCCTGAAGGTTAAACGAGAAAAAATTAAGCAAACTGCTTCCAAGTAGAATTGCCCCAGGTTTCTATCACACTAGTATTTGAACTTGAGTACACTTTTCTTCTTTTAAAGGCAGACAGCTGAGATTTTTTAAGTCAGTGAATAATTTTAAGAGTAGAAATTGTAACTTAAGCTTTAGTTTCTAAAACGGAAAGAGAAGTAAGTGCGAAATGGTAACTAGCCCATATCTTCTGCATACATGCTAGCAGAAGCCCTTCTCTTCTAGGTCAGGGAATGAGAGTGGAAACTTCATGTCTGGAGAAGGCCACATTACCCCTGTAAGGTGGCTTCTCCTAGTCTTCCCAGAACTTCCTGAGAGCAAGGAACCAAGGCCCTGCTAGTAAGAAAGCCAGCTCTTCCCTTTATTGTTCGGGCCCGCTCCACCTTCCTTAAGGGCGGCACCAGGCCACATGAAGTAAGACACGGTCTTTTAGCGACCCCAAGAACACCCTAATAGGGGCTCCAGTTATAGGCTGAAATATGCCTTCAGGCGATGGTATCCCTAATTATTTATGTATTCTTTTTCAAGACAATTCTAATCTCACAACGCGATCATTTCTTACACAACAGTGGAGACTGTTCTGGCACCTGAGGTATTGTTGTTATTAAGTGCTGTCAAGTCAGTTCTGACCCATAGTGACCCTGTGTAGGATCTCCAAGGAGCAGTTGGTGAGCTTGAACCACTGACCTTGCAGTCCAGTGCATTAGCCCACAGCACCACACCAGGACTCCAGCAGAGGTATAGGGGCTTGTTTTAAAGACGACAGAGAGAGAGAGAGCCAAGTCACACTTCGTGAGCACTTACATGACAGATGGGATTTTGGCCTCAGCTGTTCTGTTGAAGAAGAGAAGGAGGGCTTCTTTCTGCTGCTGCTTCTGTTGAAAGGAAGTTGAGAGTTTCAAGTTTCCCATCTGAGATACCTTGGAGAAGCTGACCCAATCATTGTCACCATGAGCTTTTCAAATGCTAACTATCAGGTCTTTGGAGTGAGGAGCCACCTGGACTCTGGGTTTGTCCTTAGAGATGTGGTATGACAGCTACCCTGTCGTTTTCCAAGAACTGCTCTAAGAATCTGACGAAGGAAGGAATGTAAGAGCTCTTTGGAAAGGCATTTCAGGTAGTGATCCACCATACATACCAAGCACATCCTTCGCTTAGCCTACCTGTCTCCTGCACCCTGGTGACAAACTTAAGCAGTTGTTTGCTTTTTGTCTCCTCCTTTTAGTCTACGTGGTGTTGCTGTAAGTAAGATTGGCAGTTTTGCTCCCAATGAGAAAAATGAGGCTGCATGCTCCCGTAGATTTACAGCCTCGGAAATCTTATACACATGATCTCTATGAGGCAGAAGACACTCAATGGCAGTGGGGTAAGATGCTCCTCCCCTGTGGTGCTCATGCCTGCCAGAAGAAACTTCTAAGACCCACTGAAACAATTCCAGCTCACCCTGACGAGTCTCTTTATTCCAGTATCAGCTCAAAACCGTTAGTTCACATGTTCTGGGCTGTTTCCCATATGAGGTCATGAGCTTCCCAGGGAAAGAGCCCATGTCTTCGATATACTCGTTTCTAAATATGCCGGTAAAGAATGCTAACACAGGAGATGCTCATCTGGGTTCACAGTCAGATGAGCCATGGGCTCCGATGTCTTCTTCTTCTCTTGGAGTCCCAGCAGTCCTGAAGCCACCCCCTTCCACTAGCCTGGCCCAGAGCGACAACGGCTGACACGACCATCCCCTCATGGAACAGAGAAGTCATGTAATAGTCCTGAATGTATGACTCAGGAAAGCAGCCACAGGCAGATTAAACCTAAAAGGATGGCCCCACTGGGGCAGAAAAGCAGCTTGGTCAGAAGCAGTTTAGCTTTGACAGCATCTTTCCTCTAGGACCTGGCACGCCAGGCCAGTAGAATGAGATACCCAGGGGCCACTGGAATTCGTGGGGGAATTGGTCAAGGATCCAGTCCACTTTCTACTTGTGGTGTTCTCCACCCCTCTGGCTCTGTGGCAGTAGTCCCACCTACTCGGATTTCTGGGGGATGCGTCTCCATGGCAGTGCCTCTGCATTTCCTTCCTGGCCCATTTCTGATGAGGCTCTGGACATGCACACGATGTTTCCCTGGTGACCAAGGGGCTCACTGACTTCAAGAAGCCCATTCACAAAGCCCTAGGGGTCCCGGCAAGGAGTGCTGGTGGCATAAGGGTCAAGTGCTCAGCTGCTAACCTAAAGGTTGGTGGTTTGAATCCACCCAGCTTGGCTAAGTGCATAAGAAAAAGACTTAGGGATCTGCTTCCCTAAAGATGACAGCCGAGAAAAGCCCACGGGGACAGTTCCATTGTCACAGGAGGTGGCTGAGTTGGAACCGACTCACGAGAACCCAACAGGAGGGAGGTACTATCCTTATCCCCATTTTATAGATGAGCAAACTGAAGCATGAACGTCCGTCCAGGTCACCCCACTCAGAAATGGCAAAACCAGCATTTGTAGCCACAGAGATTCCAGGCTCTGGGCAGGAATCCTGATCGTGAGCTTAAACGACTTCATCTACACTTAGCATAGATGCTGCCCCATGGAATTGCTCAATGAATGTTGCACTTGATAAGTACTTTAACTTTTCAGATGTTTTACAATAGACATCTGCAGCATTTTTAATGTGGGAGAAGTTGTTTTTTAAAGAAAAAAGAAAAAGAAAAGTCCCCCAAAGTCTCACCCTCCAAACTGGGTAGACGAAGCACTAGTCCATTAAAGATCTCTTGTCTTTTGCCAGCCACAGGCCAGGAAACCTTAAATCACCTGTCTTCTTTGTAACCATGTCCTAGGCTTTTATTAAACATGATCTACTGGCGGTTTTAAATTTATTTTTCTATGTTGGCAGTGTGACTGGATTGTCAAACGGCAGACAAGTGAACTGATATTGTCACTGGGTAGTCTGCATAGGCTTGTTCCATTTTTCGGCTCATGGTCTGGCTGATCAAAAAACAGTGTTAGACAAAAGATGATTAGAGTTAGCTGTGCTTAACCTGTGAAGAGTTACCTATGATTTCAGGTGAAAAATGAGAAAAAAGCCTTCATTACATATAATATTTTATCAATTGGCTGCTTCACCTTGGCTTCTGTGATTTGAAGCTGTTTCTTTTTTTTGTCTTCCTCTAGATGGGAAAGTGTGAGGGAACAAAGACAGAATCAATTCTTGACAGGTGAGAGGTACTTTGCTGGAGCTACTACGATGGATGTGCAAAGTTGCAGGAAACTTGGGGCTACAATTCATCTTGCAGGGAGGGGAGCTGGCTTTCTGTAGACTCACAGGGCCTCCTGATACGACCCAAACCATCAACTCACTAGTCTTTCAACTCAGGAGTTTGTAGCTGGCCAAAGTTCCAAAGGGATGTCAATGGTCACTTAGTCCATCTCCCAGATAATACTGGCACCAGCCCCACTTCCTGAATGAAATCATAAAATTAGGGCACGGCTCCTGATCTGATCCATGGCTTAGAAATGCACCAAATGGGTGGTTTTACAGTGACAAAGGTCTGGTGGCCCAAAGCACAAAGCAAACAGATCCATTTTCTACTTGAATTTTCGATTATGAAAATGAATTTTACATTAAAGAACACAAAGGAAATCAAGTTCTCAAGGATTTCTCGTTATCGGAAATTACTCAGTATCTTGCTTCAGCAGCATGCTGAAGGTAATTTCTACCAATTCAATTCTTTCAGGGATAAACTCTTAATTTCCCTAAGGCTCCAAGGAAGCAGATTGTTGTCACGTGGCCTCCAGTCAGTTCTGACTCACTGCAAACCTGTTTGTTTCCAAGGAGCGGCTGGTGAGTTTGAACTGCCAAGTGGACACTGTGGTTAGCAGTCCAGTGCTTATCCTACAGCCACACCAGTTGCAGATGGTTGTTGTTGTGAAGTGCTGTCGAGTCCGTTCCGACCCATAGCGGTCCTGTATAGGGTTTCCAAGGAGTAGCTGGTGAGCTTGACCTGCTGACCTTGCAGTTCAAACGGCTTTGCAGTCTGGCGCATTAACTCAGAGCACCACACCAGGATCCCCAGTTGCAGATTGTTGTTATGTGCCATCGAGTCCACTTGGACCCACAGCGACCCAGTATAGGGTTTCCTAGGAGCAGCTGGTGAGCTTGAACCTCGATCTTGCAATTCAAATGACTTTGCAGTCTGAGGCATTAGCCCACAGTGCCACACCAGTTGCAGATAGCAACTCTCAAATGGTGAAATGCCGAGAGCCCTGGGCTCTTTCTCAGCTGCATTCTTAAGGAATCATACTGCAACACTGGCCAAAACTCTGGGCACCTATGAAACAGAAATGATAATCACACAACACTATCCTTACAGAATCTTCCAGTACAAGCCTATTTTACTTTTGATTGTTTAAACAAGATTGACAATATGCTAAAGAACTTAAGGGCTTTGCAGAATCATGTAAAGTTATAAAACACCCAGAAGTACCTGGGTGGCACAAATAGTTAAGTGCTTGGCCACTAGCCCAAAGGTTGGCAGTTCAAACCCACCCAGAGGCACCTCAGGGAGCAGGTCTAGCAATCTGCTTCCAACAGTTCACAAGCTTGCAAACCCTCTGGCACACTGATCTACTCTGTATGCGTGGACCTACCACGGGTCAGAATCGACTCGACAATTCTGTCAATTAGAAGCACCCAGTATTCCAGGCTATTGAGTCCCTATCATTGTCCCTAAACTCAGAAACGAAACGTGTCAGTTACATCTGTCACCCATCTAAGTGGGAGACGGTGCAAGCTGGTAGGAAGTTTAAATGGTTTCGAACTTGCTGCTCTCAGTACAAGATGCTCATTACTTCTGTTTTTATTTTTTGGCCATTTTGAATAATTCAGTTGCTTCTTGGCCAGAGAGTATGACTTCCCTCCTTACTTCAAATGCCTGTGGAGTGCTTTTTTAGTTGTCTACACCCAAGTGGCAGCATCGATGGACTAAGCGTGGGAACAGTAGTGAGGTTGGCCCAGGATCGAGCAGTGTTTCCGTTCTGCTGTGCATAAGGTTGCTATGGGTCGGTACCGACTCGATGACACCTAACAACAACAACACCACCTGACGTGGAGCTGACGGATAAAGCACTGGACTGCAAGGTCAGTTTGAACCACAAGGTTGGCAGTTCAAACTCACCAGCTGCTCCTTGGAAACAGTATATATTGTCGCTATGAGTTGGAACTGACTCCACAGCACTTAACAACAACAGCAACACGGGCTGTTCTCACGGGAGCTCTCTGGGACGGCCCATGAAATATTGGTACTCAGTTCCATCACACACACACACAAGGAACAGCTTTACTAGCAGAAAACATGGCATTTTATATATAGTCACATCTTTGCATATAAAAATATTATTACAGTTCTGAATTTTTCCATTAGCATTATATTTGCCCTACCAGATCCCTAGGTTTCTTATCTAGTGGATGACACTAGCAGGCAGAAGTTGGTAGTTATACAAGGCTAAAGAAAAAGCTATAAGGAAAAACTTAATTTTTATCTCTGGACATCAGAAATAGACCACCAATGAATTATATAAGGGATAATGTTTTTAAATTACTTCTGGTGTGGTGCTGTACAATCAGTACTGGACTATGGACCACAAGGTCGGCAGTTCAAACCCACTAGCTGCTCCTCGGAAACCCTATAAATGGTTGTTATGAGTTGGAACCAACTTAATGGCACCTAACAACAACAACATTATTAAAACTTGTTGTTGTTGTTAGGTGCCATAGAGTCAGTACTGACTCATAGTGACCTTATGCACAACAGAATAAAACACTGCCCAGTTCTGGACCAACCTCACTATTGTTGCCACGCTTGAGCCCATTGATGCTGCCATTTTGCCAATCCATCTCGCTGGGAGTCTTCCTCTATTTCTTTGACCCTCCACCCTACCAAACATGATATTCTTCTCCAGCGACTGGTCCCTCCTGACAACATGTCCGAAGTATGAGAGACGAAGTTTGGCCATCCTGACCCCCAAGGAGCACTCTGGTTGCACTTCTTCCAACACAGATCTGTTGGTTCTTTTGGCAGCCCATGACACTTTCAATATTCTCAACCAACACCATAACTCAAAAGCATCAATTCTTCTACGGTCTTCCTTATTCACTGTCCAGCTTTCACATGCATATGAATGAGGTTATTGAAAATACCATGGCTTGGGTCAGGCGTACCTTAGACCTCAAGCTGACAGCTTTGCTCTTCAACATTTTAAAAACGTCTTGTGCAGCAGATTTGCCTAATGCAATATGTCGTTTGATTTCTTGACTGCTGCTTCCGTGAGTGTTGATAGTTGATCCAAGATTTCCATTGATAAGAATGTTGTTTATTGGTCCAGTGGTGAGGATTTTTGTTTTCTTTACATTGAGATGCAATCCATACTGAAGGCTGTGCTCTCTGATAGTCAGTAAAAATTTTAAGTCCTCTTCACTTTCGGCAAGGAATGTTGTATCATCTGCATATCGCAGATGAGTCTTCCTCCAATCCTGATGCCATGTTTTTCCTCATAGAACCAGATTCTCAGATTATTTGCTCAGCATACAGGTTGAATAAATATGGTGAAAGAAGACACCCGTCACATACCTTTTTTAATTCTAAACCATTCAGTGTTCCCATGTTCTCTTCGAACAACTGCCTCTTGGTCCAGGTACAGATTCCTCATGAACACAATTAAGTGTTCCAGAATACTCATACTTCGCAATGTTGTCCATAGCTTGTCATGATCTACACAATGGAAAGCCTTTGCATAATCAATAAAGCACAGGTAAGCATCTTTCTGATGTTCTCTGTTTTCAGGCAAGATCCATTGGACATCAGCAATGCAAACTTCTTAGACATAACTAAACTCCTTGTAGGAATGAGTTGCTGGGCCTGGGGGCTCAGAACCATAGTTTCAGGGGTTATTAAGGTCAAATGGCAGCATAGGAGGTCCCCCAGACAATCTTCTATATCCGACTTTGGTAAGTAGCAACTGAGAGTCTTAAAAGTTGATGAGCATTGGTTTAAGGAGCAACTATTGGTCTCTCCCTGTCTGGAAGAAAGACGAGAATGAAAACTGAAGCCACGAGGAGGGAAACGAGCAGAGTAGTGGACCACGCTAACATCAGTCTCCACAAACCTGAGTCCAGAAGAACTGGATGGTGCCCAGATCCACTACCAACTGCTCTGAGAGAGTCACACAGAAACATCCTGGATAGAGTGAGAAAAAAAGTTGGACCAAAACTCAAAATCATAAGACAAGACCAGGCTTACTGTTTGGATAGAACCCATTGGAACCCTAAGACTATGGCCCTTAGGCACCCTGTAGTTCTGCAAATGAACTCACTCCATGGCTCAATTGTCGTCCATATGACAGCTTCATAAGAGGAACAATACCACTAGGGAGGTACACACACCTTAGAATAACCAACCACTTCAGATCAAAGTGCAGCATTACCTCCGAAGTTCAGAAGAGTTAGGAAAGAAGGAGAAATGAAAACAGGAAGCACAGGGAGGAAATGGGTTAGGTGATGTTACATTGTGGAGACTGCAATCAATGAGATGAAACAAAATGTGTATGAATTGTTGAATGGAAAACTGATTTGTGAAAAGATTCACAGTAAAAAGTTTTTTAAGAAAAGAAAGAAAGAAACAGACCACCAAGATTGATTTAACAGTCTGCTCAGGCTTATGGCTCCCCAGAAGTATAGTTGAAGAACTGCTGGTCCAGATGCGCTCTGTGATTGGCACAGATGGTTGAGCGCTCATCTACTAACTCACAGTTTGGTGGGTAGAACCTACCCAGAGGTACCACATAAGAAAGAGCTGGAGATGTGCTTGTGGACGCTCACAGCCTTGCAAACCTTGCAGAAAGTAGACTTACTGTGTCATGTAGCAGGCTGCCATCACTCAGAGCTGACCCGACACATCCATGTTGTTGAACTCTGAAAGCTCCATGGGAAAGAAAGCACAGCCATCTATTTCCTCTGGACCAGCCAGCTTAGTGCATGTAATACGGCATAAACGAGGTCTGCCTCCTGTACCCTGCCTCCTTCCGACAAGTTACCAGCGAGTGTGCTCGTCACGTGAGATGCTACAGTGTCTTCATCCGACTTCATGAGATCTCCGAGAGGCTGAGCCCTGGAGCTGAGTCTCTTTATATCGGGCATCATTAAGTCCTGCTAGTCCTTAATGTCAGTGCCAACACGTCCCAATAACTGCATTTTCTTGGCAATGAACATTGCAAGGTTTTATCCCAAGAGGATGGAAACAGAGCTGGCACAGATTATTTTCCAGCACTCAGCACAGTATGACACTAAAGACAGATATTCAATCAATGTGTTTGAAAAAGATAAAAGCCCCGCAGTGGAAAAAGTCCTAAAATATAAGCATGGTTTTAGGCTCAGCTCTGCTGGTCTGTATCCACGGGACCGAGGGCAAGTCATGGTCTAGTGGCTCTCCTCAGTTCCCTTCTCTGTAAAATGGTGATGCCAGTTTCTGTTCATCTTGTTGTTGTTATGTGCCGTCGAATTGGTTCCGACCCATAGTGACCCTGAACAGGGTTTCCAAGGCTGTAAATGTTGACGGGAGCAATAAGGACTCAAAGGGTTAACAGGGCTGGAAAACTTTTGGGTAAACAAATTACACATGTATACAATATGTCGGCAAGACTAGAGCTAGCCCCCGGGTATGGCTAGAGGAGTAACTAACATATATCAAATACGTACAGGGAAATTTCTAACAACTGTTACTACACGGAGGCAGTCTCAAAATAACACTAAACCTAAGTCCCAACTTTCTTTAGGAATTCAGACTAGACATCACCATCCTCTAGTTCCCATGGGTTTATTTCTATGACCATCTGTCACCAGCGATTTACTTAAGAATAAAACTCCCAAACCAACTGCCATATAGTTGAATCGGACTCATGGCATCCCACAAGTGTATCAGAGTAGAACTGTGCCCCACAGGCTAACCTTCTGAGATGCCTCTGAGTGGACTCGAACCTTCAGCCTTTCGGCTGGCACCTGAGCTCATTAACAATTTGCAATACCCAGGGATGCCACAGAAGTACAGAGTTGCCAATTAATGGAGAGACTTTCTAAAAAGGCCAGGCAGGGTGAGAATAAAGCAGGCCCCTGCTCTTGCCCAGGGAAGTGGGCAGAGATGGTAGGAACGCAAGTCTGAGAACTCTGGGTAACATGCACAGTGCCTCAGAGGGAGGACCGCCTGTGGACATGTTGACCTCCACATCCCCGTCTCCAGCCCAGACTCACGGTTTCATCTTTAGTGGTCATCTCCTTGGCGGCGGCATCCAGGGCGGCTCTGGCCCTGGCACTGATGCGTCCTGGGACAACCACCACCATCTTGCGCTGTTTGGCGGGGAGCTGGGAAAGGACGTCCGATTTGAGGCGCCGCAGCATGACTGCTTCTTCCAGCAGGAGCTTCAGCTCGCTGAGGTTGGAGGAGCCTGAATAGTCCCATCCCCAGGGCAGCTATGCAGAAGGAGACGAGCACGTGAGAGCTCAGACTGCCCACCCCACCCCTGGATCTACTGAAAGAACTTCACAAAGCTTTTATAAGGGTGGACCCAACCTGCCGTCGGGTCCATTCAGACTCACAGCGACCCTACAGGACAGAAGACCACTGCTCCTTAGTAAGGTTTCAGAGGCTGCAAATCTTTACAGGGGCAGACAGCCTCATCGGTTTCCCATGGAGTAAGCTGGTGGATTTGAAACACTGACTCTGCAGTCAGCAGCCCAACCCTAACACACTGCGCCACCAGGGTCTCTTCACAAAGATATACGATGCCCAAAGAAATGAAAACGAGAAACAGGTGAAAATAAAGGGAAAAAAGTGTCAGGAGTGAGGTAAACTAAACCTTGGATCAGGGTGTTCCAGAGTCTGGCACTGAGCTTTCCAGCAGCAAGTGCCAAAAGGGAAACTTAATGAGTCCAGTGATTTGGTGTCCATTACACTCAAACAAACTGACCAAGCCTGAGAAACTTAGCTTGTCAGACTATTCCTATAGCTAAATACAGAAGTAGGGTTTCCCTAGGGTTTGTCCGACTAAGCCTACTGAACAATGCCATGAACCATGCTGTCGGTGACATCTTGATTTGGTGTATTTTACAGGGATTTTCAAAATACTTGCTCCTCAGAGTGGATCGCACCAATACAACCAAGTACAAAGTAATAAAAGTACCAGAAGTGTGGTGGTGGCAGAGGTAGTGGTTTGGGGGTGGGAGGACCCAGAACACAGGTATTGCCTACCTGGTGAATCTGGCTGTGGGGTGGGGGTGGGGTAGCATGTCCAGGCAATGCTTCATGCTTAGTGCCCTCATTGCGCAGCTCTTGCGGCGGTGAGCTCAAAACTCTACTCGCTGTGACACAGCTAGTTTGTAGTTAAAATGGTGTGGCGCTGTAGGATCAGCACTGGACTGGTAACCACAACGTGGGCGGTTCAAACCCACGAGCTGCTCCTTGGAAACCCTATACAGGGTCACTATGAAGCAGAACTGGCTAGACGGCCCTTCACAACATCCTTCCTTAACAGTCTCACTGGAAAAGGAAGGACACACGTGCAGATCAAGGGGCCAGGTGTCTGCTGCCTCTTGACATCCCTCCCAACTCCTGCCTCATCATCCTGGATGGTGAGCTACCCAAGGCAGAGGGTCAGGGGGACTCAGTGTGCTCATTTTTGAGGCCCGGGACCAAAAATTGTGGTGGAGTTGGGTAGGTATCTTTTAAACCTCCGTTGAATTGAGGCTGGTAAGATGGTCACAGGAGGAGAACTGAAATACTCAGGCATCAACTGCAAGTTCTCAGCCAATGCTTTTCAAGAGCTCTGGGGTCACAGATGAGCTCAGCATGGGACGCTGTCTTGGGGGCTCCCCCTGGGGTCTGAGGCTAGCCAGTAAGCAGCAGCTCTGGGCTGCGGGCTACATGGAGTGAAAGCCAGGCAGGGAACACGTGGATCCCATTATTAATTTAGGTATCATGTTCTAACTTCTAACACCACCAGGCCAAGACCCAGCAATCCAAAAGCTTTTCAACTGGACTTGGGCAGAATCACTGCCCAACAAGTATATACTGGAAACAGACCATGTACAAGGCACTGGGCAGGTGGAGGCTTGGACACAAAGATGTCCCTGCCCTGGGTCAGTGGTTACTACTGACACATGGTGACCACTCACAACAGCACAGTGTGTGATCTCCAAGATCTCTAGTGAGCCGTAGAGTGCTCACTGGCTGATTTCTGGAATTAGATTACCTAGTCTTTCTCCTAGTCAGTCTTAGTCTGGGAGCTCTGTTGCAACCTGACCACAGCCACACAAGCCACCTCATGCACAGCCCCCCAATGACAGTGGAGTGGTGGTTGTGCATGAGAGGCATAGAAGATGAGAATTCTAGCACCGAACCAGCAATGCCTCAGGCCCTTAGCTTAGAGACGATCACTTCTATTAACTGCCACACTGTAGGTACATCATTTACTACCTTAGTTTTATTTGGAGGAAGGAAGGGCTGGGAAAGGATCGCTAAGAGCGAATTCAAGGATGTTTCTGGTTTGAGGGTGGCCTGTGATGGGGAACACTGGAAGGAACAGTTTCAAGAATGCTTTCCATCATTCACTAGCTCCATGTTATTCATGGGCCCAGGGAGGTGAGAGAGAGAAGACTGTTTCCAGACAATGAATCATTTGCAAGTGAGACAAAAGTAAAAATTACTTGGGAAGAGCTTTGAGGGACCATGAAAATCAGAAGCCATCGCTCTGATTTGGACTGCTCCAGGGGAGCAGTGAAATTACTGTTTGTTAAAGAAGTGTATGCCTTTCGAGTACGTTCCAAAATGGAGATGTTTCCTGCCTCAAGAACCAGCTAAAAATGGTCTGTAATTCATTTTGCAAAGCCCTACGATTTACAGTGAATAGTACTTCGTTTTAAAGTAAGTGGGTATTTTTTAAGTACTTGAACATTTTTTTCTTTTAAAAAAAGTATTAAGATTGATGATCTGTTCTGTAAACTAAACCTTCATAATAAAAAGTTTAAAAAATTTATCTTCAGTATAAAAAAATATTAAAAAGTAAGGCTGATAATCTTACTTAGACATCATCCTTCATAGATGGCATATGAATAAACTGTTACCATTTTTCCAAATTGTTTGTCAGTATCTTAGAAGTAAATTCAAAAACAAAAACCTAAATGTAAATGTTTAGTAATAAAAGGGGAGTGGCTGATTTTGCAGTCCAGGAGTGGAGATCCCTAGAACCATCAAGGTAGAAAAGCAAAGTGCGAGACCCTGTCCAGGGAGGAAGTGACACTAGGGATGGAGGCAGAGACGATGACGTGCACAGAAGGAGCGACGGGGGACTCTGGACTCAGGGAGGGAGAGGGGCTGTGTGCTGGCGGCCAGGGGGTAGGCGTATAGGGTGTACCCTTTGGCTGTTTCATGATGCATGCAGGGGATTATGATCATTGCAATGAAACAAAACATGATAGGATGAATGTAAAGATAATGTTCACCTATGTAAACTAACACATAATTCACAATAAAAACTTAAAAAAGGAAAAATAACCAAAAAAACCATTGGCTACACAGGATCGTTATCACGTCGATTACAACTTACAGTGAATGTATGTAGTATTTCTGAGACTGTAAACCTTCACAGGAGCAGACAACCTCAACTTTCTCCTGTGGGATTGGCTGATGGGTTTGAATCACTGTTCACGCAGTTAACTTATCCCACCAGGGCTCCTTAGATGCAAATAGGGGCTCTGTAAATTGGTGACTTTGGTTACAAAACAGGAATCCCTAAGATGAGAACTAATAAGGTTTTAAAAAGAGATTCTGTTTTTTACTGATGTTTCTCTCCCTGCCACCTCCTCCTGTGCAAATCACAGTAAATACATGTATGGACTCCTGGAGTGGCACTGTAGGATCAGCTCTATACTGCAAACCCCAAGGGTGACAGTTCAAACCCACCAACTGCTCCTCAGAAACCCTGTCCAAGGTCGCTGTGAGTTGGAACCAACTCGATGGCACGCAACAATAACAAATACCTATGTAACCAAACATGCCATTTTTACACTTTTTACACGTACCCTACACGTTCACCTTGTTCAACCATCACCACAACCATTCCCAATTTTCCCATTACCTTTAACAGCAACTCAATGCCCCCGAAGCAATAAGTCCCCTTTCCCTCCCTCCCGTCTGTGCCTGGTAACCAACAAACTTCTAAGAGATGGAATTCCAAAGGCAGGTTTGCCAGAGGTTCCCACTGCACGGGCACCGTATTCACAAAAATAAGTAAGCTGTAGGCCAAAGGTTTGTGAGCACTAATCAGGCAGGATTCACTAATACAAGTCGCCACTTAGGAGCAAAGTTCAGAGAGAAAAACCCACCCGAGGCAGCTAGAGATGGTACACCTGCCTGTCACCTTAGGGCAGACCAGAGTTTTCCGCTTTACTTCATACTCTTCTCCCGCCTCCCCTGCCTTGCCTCTCAGAGCCCCACACTCCAGCAGTACTCACTGGTCCCTTCCCTGTACACATCAGCCTGGAAACACCACAGATATTAGAGCCAACTCTCAGGTCAGAGTTAGGCCAAGCAGAACTAAAATCCTGGCCCAGCTCCCTGCCAGTCTTCTTCTGTGCACACCACAGCCAAGGAGAAGAAAGAAAAAGTAAGTGCCAAGATCAGGGTGAGGGACGGGTGGGCTATAGAGGGAAGAGAGAATAAATACCCGTTTGGCATCACAGTAGCGAAGTCCGAAGGCATGGAACTGAGGGAAGAAAGTCGGCTTGACCCCGATGATCTGAGTGTAGAGCTCTGCGGGCCGGGACATGGCCGGTGTGCCAGACAGCAGGATGGCCCTCTTGGCAACCTAGAAAACACATGGGAGAGACCATGGGGAGCTCCAACATGTTCCAAAGAGGCTGCAGCCGGATGTTACAAGGAACTGCAAAATCCCCTGGGATCAATCACGAACACCTTTCATTTCCTGGGCACCTGAATGCTAGCAGCGCTCAACATCAATCACTCCAGAACCAGGGTAGATTCCAAGATGCCTAAGACAGGACTCCTTCCCAAACTCTATATTTGCACCCCTGGTCTCAGACACCATGTGTACCAGAGGACCCGGCAGCACTCCCCAGGCGGGGGGGGGGGGGGGGGGGGGGGGGGGGGGGGGGGGAACCACTTACATGTCACCTCTCTTTCTTTAAGTCCTTACTCACTGGCTTCAGGGCACCCAATGCCAACCTCTATCTTCACACCAAAATTTGATTTCTTCTGTCTCTCTCATTTGCAAACTTCTTTCATTGTGGTAAACATAGATGCAACAAAACACCTGGCATTTCAACATTCTCTACACGTACAATTTAATAACACTGTCTTTATCATGTTGCGCAACTACCATTTTATTTCCAAATTTCCCCGTCACCCTGAGCAGCAGCTTAGCATCTCCCAAGTGAGTTCCCCTTTCCCTCACCTTCCTGTCTGTCCCCAGAAGTCACCCATACAGCGGTAGGTCTGAGACATTTGGCTATACTAGCTATTTCAGATGTGGAATCACACACTATTCATCCTACTGACTTCCAAACGTCTTGTAATCAGGTTGGGTACACCTCAGTTCTGTAGTCTAGTGCCTGGCTGAAGTAAGTACTCAGTACATGTTCACTATAGGCTGACAATTTTCAGAAGGAAGTTAATTAATGTTCCAGGGAACAGGGAGTGCATTCAAAGAACCCAGCATCGGAAAAGCAAGTGGGAATGGGGTGGGGTTCTTTCAGGTCGGATTCCAGGTAATAACTCTGCAGACCTGGACTCGCTTGCTAGGTGGAACTGTCTGGGACTGCCTATGTATAAACCTCTATTTTATTTTCTTTAGAAAGAAGAAAAAGGCCTGCATTAACTTAATTTCATAGTGTTTCCGGACTAGAGATCCCTGGTTCGTCATGCAGTTACTAAGGACTGAAGAAGTCGGGCCCACGTTCACTTTCCCTAAACTCAGCCTAGTCTACAGCAGCCTGTCAGAGGTGGACAGGAGGAAAAGCAGCAGCAGGTAGGTCCAGGCTCTTCACTATCCTGACACTCAGCAGAGTCAAGGATAGCAGACCCCTTATCCCACCTGTAAGTAAGATGGGAAAGAGGGTAGAAATGACAACAAAAAACAAAAATAAGACAGAGACGGCCATTCTCGCTGCATGGGAACATGTTGCTGTTAGTGCCATCGAGTCGGTTCCAACTCAGACGGACCCTGCATAGCATTTCCTAGGAGCAGCTGGTGAGTTTGAACTGCCAAAGTTGTGGTTTGCAGTCCAGTGCTGATCCTACAACGCCACGCCAGAAGTCCCACTAGAACATATACTTGAAAAAAAGACTGGAGGTACAATTCATTTCCATTCCGGGAAGGGACTCTACACCTCATGCTCAGCTGTCTAGAAACAGCCTGTTAACCACTGTAACCTTGAGTTAATAACAGCGACATAAGGCAACTGTGTGCAGTAAATCACCTGTGGGGGCAAGAGGGGGGAACAATGAAGAATTCAGTTTTCCAACAGACCAGCTACCTCGTAAAAATAAATAAATAAAGGTGCTCCAGAGGCCCGGAAAAATGATCAACACACTCAATATGCAATTCTCAAGATGCACTTTTGCCCTCTCAGCACCCGCCACTACCCAATTCCATTATGACAGGAGAGCTAGAGATCTCTCCCGCTATAATTTTCCACAGTTCAATTACCCAGGCCTTCTAATTTCCTGCCTGGTTTCCTGCAGACTCATTAAAATAACAATGAGCTTCTTGAATGACGTCTGTAGCATGGCTTGCCATGGCTCAAAACCATTTCAATAAAGTGAAGAAAACTAAAGAAAAAGGAAGTTTTATCGATAGAAAAAATCTGCCCATCATCCCAAACCAATCCTGGGCACCAGTATTCTTGCCTGGGAATCAAGCTCCCGGGATTAGGTGACGGAGGTGACCTGCAGGCTTCTCCAGCAGGTCCTTGGTTGTAGGACATAGCCAACATTGGGCCAGCTCTCCTGTCATCTCCGGATTGAACAGTGACAGGATCACTGCAAGCAAACATTTGTGGGTGTTAAAAAGTCTGGGTGGCGTTACGGGAAGAAGCCAACTTTGAAAAATGTTATCAACTGTTAGGAGTGAGGTGGCCTGTTCTCCGCTTAGCCCAAAGTTATCTGTGTTGCAATCACTGTCATCTATTTTAACCCATGTTAATGGCACATAACCAACCAACCAACCAATGGAGTGCTGGGGTGGCGCTGTGGGCTGATGCGTTAAGACTGCAAAGCCGTTTGAACTGCAAGGTTGGCGGTTCAAGCTCACCAGCTGCTCTTCGGAAACCCTACACAGGGTCGCTATGGGTTGGAATCGACTCAACGGCACTTAACAACAACAACAATGGAATGCTGGGGTGGCGCTATGGGCTGAAGCGTCAGACTGCAAAGTCATGTGAACTGAAAGGCCGGTGGTTCAAGCTCACCAACTGCTCCTTGGAAACCCTATACAGGGTCGCTATAGGTTGGAATCGACTTGACGGCACTTAACAACAGCAAGGCAGCTGCACACGATGTGTGCGATTTGTAAGTCATGTGCAACCATTGTTGTTAAGTGCTGTCAGTTCCAACTCAGAGGAGCAGCTGGTGGGTTTGAACCTTTAACCTTGCAGTTCAAACCGACATTGCAGTCGAGTCCTTATCCTACAGCGCTATACCAGGACTCCAGATAAATGTTGCTATTGTCAGGTGGTGCCATTGCCTCAGTACCAGCTCACAGTGTCCCTATGCACAACAGAACAAAACACTGCCTAGTCCTGGGCCAAACTCACAATTGGTGCTATGCTTGAACCCACTGCTGCTGTCACGATGCCAATCCATCTCATTGGGGGTCTTTCTCTTTTTTCCAACCATTCACTGTATCAAACATGATACCTTTCTCCAGGGACTGGACCCTCCTGATGATACGTCCGAAGATTGAGAGACGAAGTCTGGCCATCCTGGTTTCCAAGGAGCATTGTGGCTGCACTTCTTCCCACAGCAATTCGTTCTTTTGGCACTCTATGGTACCTTCAATATTCTCCTCCAACACCATATCTCAAATGTATCAATTCTTCTACGATCTTCCTTATTCACTGTCTAACATTCACATGCATATGAGGTTATTGAAAATACCATGGCTTGGGTCAGGCGCACCTTAGTCCTCAAGCTGACATCTTTGTTCGTCAACACTTTAAAGAGGTCATGTGCAGCAGATTTGCCTAATGCAATAAGTCATTTGATTTCTTGACTGCTGCTTCTATGAGTGTTGATGGCTGATCCCAGCAAAATAGTCCTTGGCAACTTCAATCTTTTCACCACTTATATGGATGTTGCTTATTGATCCGGTGATATTTTTGTTTTCTTTACAATGAGGTGCAACCCATTATCGAAGGCTGTGGTGTTTGATCTTCACCAGTATTTTAAGTTCTCTTCACTTTCACCAAGCATGGTTGTATCATCTGCATATCAGGTTGTTAATGAGTCTTCCTCCATCTTGATGCCACATTTTTCTTCATATAACCCAGCTTCTCAGGTTATTTGCTCAGCATACAGATTGAGTAAGTATGGTGAAAGAATACAACCTTGGTGCATACCTGTCCTCATTTTAATCCATTTGGTATTTCCGTGTTCTGTTTTAACAACTGCCTCTTGGTCTATGTACAGGTCCCTCACAAGCACAACTAAGTAAGTGTTCTGGAATACTCAGTTCTCTTGTCCATAGCTTGTCAAGAGCCACACAATCAAAATCCTTTGCATAGTCAATAAAGCACAGGTAAATATCTTGCTGGTATTCTCTACTATTACTGTTGGTGCCATGGCTCTTGAATGGAAGCAGAGAGGAAAGGTGTGCACCAGGGTTGTATTCTTTCACCATACTTATTCTTTCACCACACTTATTCAATCTGTATGCTGAGCAAATCATCTGGAAGTTCTTTGCCAATGTCTGGTTGCAGCCATTGTTATATTACCTTTAGCAAAATTTTACCTACATGCAATATTAATAATATTGCCCAATGATTTCCGCATTCCACTGGGTCACCTCTCTTTGGGATGGGCACAAATATGGATATCTTCCAGTCAGTTGACCAGGTAAATAGTCTTCAAAATTTCTTGGCATAGATGAGTGAGTGATGCAAGTTTGTTGAAAGATTTCAATTTATATTCCACCAATTACTGGAGCCTTGTTCTTTGACAGTACCTTCAATGCGCCTTAAACTTCTTCCTTCAGGATCACTGGTTCTTGTTCACATGCTACCTCTTGAAATGGTTGGAAGGCAACCATTTCTTTTTGGTGCAATTACTCTGCGTTTTCCTTCCATCTTCTTTTGATGCTTTCTGCATCATTTAATATTTTGCCCATAGAATCCTTCAATATTAGAAGTCGAGGTTTGAAGTTCTTCAGTTCCTTCAGCCTGAGGAATGCTGAGTGTTCTTCCTTCTGGCTTTCTAACTCCAGGTCTTTGTACATTTCATTATAAGACTTTACTTTGTCTTCTTGAGCTGCCCTTTGAGAAATTTTCTATTTAGCTCTTGTACCTCCTCCTTTCTTCCATTTGCATATGATAAATGCAAACGACAACGTAAATCAGCTCTAAGAGAACCATTAACTCACCTGGCTAAGGAAAGTATGCTACACAGAGACACATTCAGCTTCATTTTATTAGCAGTACTGCTACTTAGGTTTTCTTTAACTGAGTCTGGATTTTCACTGAATTGGTAGTTAAAATGTATTAATCCCCTATGATGAGATCTAATAAACTGTAGTCACCATCCCATGACGGGATCTGATGTCATCAGCTCTGATCTGATGTAATGATCCTATGTGTTGTAATTCCTCACTTCTATGATGTTACTGAGGCTGAATACAATCTACAGCCGGTGTCAGGGACCGTCAGGTCAGCCTGTGAGTTGTGCAGAGTTGTTATGTGCGGTCAAGTTAGCTCTGACCCATACCGACCCTGTATAGGGTTTCCAAGGAGCGACTGGTGAGCTTGAACCACTGACCTTGTAGTTAAAACGGTTTTGCAGCCTGGCACATTAACCCACAGGGCCACACCAGGACTCCATGGGCTGTATGTTGTTGTTGTTGTTAAGTGCCGTCAAGTCGATTCTGACCCATAGCAACCCTGTATAGGGTTTCCAAGGAGCAGCTGGTAAGCTTGAACCGCTGACCTTGCAGTTCAAACAGCTTTGCAGTCTGGTGCATTAACCCACAGTGCCATACCAGGGCTCCCTGTGGGCTGTACAGGGCCTGTGAAATCACTTGGTCTGGCCCTGCCCAGGCAGTTTCAGCCATCACGTTGTTATTAAGTAACATGGAGTCAGTTCTGACTCATAGCAATCCTGTGAGTGAGTTAAATGCCTGACCAAATGTAGCAGTCTAATTTTTAAGTTGATAATTTTGCATGGCCCATGACCGATGGTATAAATTTTGGCAGAACTATTGTTCCCCACCCCTGATCTTGAGGATTAGGTTGTATCCTGAGTCATTCTCTTTGAGATATAAAAGGTGGAACAGGCAAGCAGAGCTCCGAGGGACCTACCACCACCAAGAAGGAAGAACAGGGAGTGCAGTGGACCCTTTGGACCTGCGGTCCCTGAACTGTGAAGCTCCCACATCCAGGAAAAGACTGATGCCAAGCTGCAGAGGCAGCTCCTAGGAACACTGGGCCTACGGATGCTGAGAAGAGACAAGGGCCTTTCTCCAGAGCCGACGATGAGAGAATGCCTTCCCCTAGGGCTGGCACTCTGAGTTTGGACCGTCTAGCCTCCTAAACCATGAGTCCTGGGCTGGTGCTGTATAAGCACCGGACTGCTAACAATACCAGTCTCTCCACAGAAACCCTACACAGGGATGCGAGAAGTCAGAACGACACTTCACAGTAAACCGTGAGAGAACAAACTTGGTTTGTTAAAGCCATCACTTGTGCTACTTCTGTTACAGCCGCACCAGAGGACTCACACAGGTACCTGGAGCGATGGGACTCAGCCAGGAGATGAAGAGAGGAGTTTGTCCCCAGGGGACATTTGACAGCGTCTGGAGTCATATTGGATGTCGCAATTTGGGGAAGTGGTGCTATTGACATCTAGTGGGTAGAGGTTAGGGATGCTGCTAACTATTGGACAATGATGGGATAGCTAACCCCCAACAAAGAGTAAGCCAGCCTAAGATGTTCATGGTGCCAAGGTTGACAAACTCTGATCTCGAAGAAGATAAAGCAGGGAAAGATGAAGGGTTTGGTTAACTCCTGCGAACACTCTAGTGTTACGTGAAATCAATGCTACAGAAGACACTGGTTTCAAGGTGCCCTCATAAGTGGCAGGTGATACTCACAGGTCCTATTTTAAACTCTGAATTCATCAAAGTTATGTGGCAAATGCAGAGCGATGTATATTAATTAGCAGTTAAAAGATTTGTTTTAAATCTGTCACTCTGAAACACAGTCAAGATATTAAAGATGAAAATGCTGCTTTAAAGGTTTGGTTCAAAGCACATATTTCAGAAACCAATATCTAGCTCAGCCTGCATAACCAGACGGCAATATTAACAAGGCGGTTGCTAGGAAGCTTTCATATTATAACTTTAATGATATAATCTATCTATTGTGCAATTTCTTTTGTCTAAACAATCAGGGGTAGATTTAATTTTAGTTATGGCTCCAATATTAGAACCACAGTGCACACCGAGATCTATTAACTTTTTTTCTAAGGAAAACATATTATGCTTTCAAAAGGCAGGGTCACTTCCCTGGAGAAAACGCTCTGTTAAATGTGCCCATAAATAGCTATCGATATATAAATATTTATGGGCAATAAGATTATGGTGTTTTTTTTTTTAACATAAAGAGACTGTAATTTTAAGTTTAGAGCGCATGGCATAATCTTGTCTTCGAAGATGTATCATATTATTTGTTACTTCTAAAAGGCAAAAACAATAAAAAACAAACTTTAAAAAACAAGCAGACATTTGTGCATGTGTTATGTGTTTGGGGTGTGTATGCGGCAGGGGTGGGGAACGAAGATTGAAAAGATTAATTTTCAAATGCTGAACTTCATCAACATTACGCATATATGTGTGTCCCAAAGTTTATTTCAGGTAAAACTTGAGTCTTCTTTTAAGCAATAAAAACTGCAGCTTAAAATTGTTGGTGCAACACCATGGCTGCTTCAACAGAAGACAAGACACACACACACACACACACACACACACACACACACACACAAATGCAAGTGGGTTCCTCCCAAGTAAAAGCGTTAGAACTTGTCATGAAAGAAGAGTCTACTTTTCTAACTGTACCCATTGCCCCCGCCCCATCTTAGGACTATGATCACTTCAGAAGGATGAAAAAAAAAAAATAGGGGACCTCCTACTGGTCAGGGCCCAGGGCCCATACTGCATGTTGAGATACCTCAGAGTAAGGCAGGAACCTACACTGCACATCCTTTCAGAAGCTGGGACTCCTAACAGCCAAACACACAGGCAAAAGCTCAGCCCTAAAGGAAGGTAGATGCTGGCCTTCCTGCAAAGACAGGCTTAGGTTGGCTAGAGAGAAGGCACTGACTTCTGAGGTACAGCTTGGCTTGGCAATGCTTCCTGCTGACACCGATCCACTCCAGCCCAATTGTGAGTTTGCACATCTTGCTCATGTCCTAGGACTATGGTTCCCAGCACTGGGACAGCTGTGCCACTGTAAGTGACTTTGAGAACAAGCAGCCTCCCCTGAGCTGCTTAGAGGATGAGCAGCTAGATCACTCTCCCTCCTCTCCCTCAGCCAGGCAAGAGACCAGCGGAGGAGTCTGGACTCCAGCCCTGACCTAGTGGGTGGCTTTCAAGAGTCCATAGAATTCTCCATCTCAGAGGAATAGATAAGGCAGCACCAAGTTCTTGCTCCTTTGCAGGATTTGAGGAAAGAAACAAACCAGAACCCAAAGCTGTAAGTTGTTGTTGTTGTTGTTAGTGCCGTTGAGTCAGTTCTGACCCATAGCGACCCTGTATTGGGTTTCTGAGGAGCAGCTGGTGAGCTGAACCACCGACCTTGCAGTTCAAGCAGCTTTGCAGTCTGACGCATTAAGCCACAGCGCCACACCAGGACTCCAAAAGCTGTAAGTCGAGGTGCCTTAAGTTCATGCAAGGTGTCCTCGGGAAGTGCAAAGGATGAAACTGCCTGACTACTAACTGAAAGGTTTGCGGTTTGAATCCAAGCAGCAGTTTCTCAGAAGAAACTGCTGAGGATCTATTTCTGAAAGATCTCAGCTACTGGAAAACCTGCGGAGTATCGTTCTGTCTGACACACAGGCGGCAGCCATGAGTTAGAATAAACTCTAGGACAACTGGTTCATGGCTAATATCCACAGCACACAGCCCAAAATTTGCAGCCCCCACTCAATTTAGACCCCTTGCCAACTCCGGACTACATGCTGAGTGGGCTCAGGCTCCAGGTTTGCACTCAGAACACTTACCTTTAGGATGGGCATAGCTGCGCGACAGCGGGCAGTCTTAATGTTTTTGAGGAAATGTGATTCATCCTGAAAAGAAACAGTATAGAGGTGAGCAAGGCCAAATCCCAAGTGGACCGAGAGAGAGCCTGAGGCAGCTCAGCCCTGGCCTGGTGTCTTCATGGTGGATGCCTCCATCAGCATTTCTCACCCCTGTAGACAGAGCCGTGGCTGAGGAGGACCAAGGTCCCTTGACTCCACTCTGGACAAGGTGTTCATATCTCTGAGGACAACTGTCCACCTAAAAAAGCAGGGCTAGAAAATCTGCTGCCCCGCCCACTCGGAGGCTACAGGGATGAATAAACCCAGCAGGAAGGCTGCTGCTTCCTAAGGCACCTGTCATCTGTGTGGCACCTACAGTGCAGAACTCCACCATGTGCTCTGTACTGCCCTCAGAGGTCAGACACACCCAGCTTCTCAGACGGCACTGTAGGTGCTGTCACTGAGGTATGAACAGATCCAGGAGGGAACAGGGAGCAAGGAAGATCCCTGACCTCCGGGGCTGACAATGAAATGGAGGTAGATTATTTATAAGGGCACCTTCTGTGTATAGGCAAATACAAAATTCATGATATGAGCGGGTTTCAAAAAGTTCATGGAAAAATGCCACTATCTTTGAATTCCAATTTTCCACGAATATTTTTGAAGCCCCTGGTACTTTCTAAAACAACACAAGTAGCAGATATGTTGTTCATATGCAGGGGGAGAATTCCTAGCTTGGTACCTATTCAAATGACTTACGGTGTGACTACAAGCAACTCCTTGACCTCTCCAAGGTGCTAGTTTCTCCATCAGTAAAATGAGTACAAAGCCAGTGCCTAACACAGCACAATGTTGTAAGTCTTAAATGTGCTTAGAACAGTCTTGCCACTTAGTAAGTGCTCAGTGATATCAGCCACCCTTAAGGCTGGGCTACACTGGTCATTGAGGATGAAATGGAAGAAACCTCCTTGTCCCATATCAGCTACAATGAACCAAAACAGACCTCAGAAGCAGGAGGGGAGGGAGTGCCAGATGAACCCCCAGATGTCAGAATGGAACTGATTCCCACAAACCTGGGAGTGACCTCAGAGTCATCACTTACTTCACTCTTTCCTGACATTTCTTTGAAGCCCAAAGAGGCCACATTACTTGCTGAAAACCATTGGTTTTAGGAAAACACGAACTCTGAAGGCAGATGTAGCCCAACTTTAACTCATGGCTCCCCAACTGGCATCCTGTCTATGGGCAACTATCTTAACCTTTCTCATTTTCAGTTTCAGAAATGGGGGAATGACAGTTTCTTGTAAAGGCAAATGAGAAGATTAGCAATTATGAGATGAATCAAATATTATCTACACTCTGGTTAAATGAAAATGCCCATCCACATCCTTGGCTGCGTGAAATGATTCTGTCAGAGGACTGGCAAATCATTTATAAATCAGCCACGGCTCTGCCTATGCAATAAGAAGCGTTTGGACATCTGCAAATAAAATGTGGACTGATACTCGAAGGGATGTAAAAGTTTCTTTGAAAAAATCATTACTGTTGAGAAGCTAAGGATTCATCACTACAAGCCTGAGAGTCAATGGCAGAGTACGGAATGGAAATAACTTCAATCGCCGACCAAGACAAACTTCAAAAGTCAACCATCGACTAGAAAATTGATGTTTAGTTTTCTGGGATTCTCAAGAGCCAGTATGGGAACACTATCAGGAAAAAGGTTCAACAATCAACAGTGCTCATTACAGTGAGATGCTCGCTGAAGAGCTGAAGCCTAAACTTCAGATTAAACACAGAGGACTGCTATCTGAGGGCGCTGTGATCTTGCATGACAATAAACATCTGCACACCTCTGCCCACACTATTGACATTCTGCAAAAACTTCCTTTCAAGGTGATAAAGCATCCCTCCTGTAGTCCTGATCTTGCTCTATGGGGCTTCATGTGTTTGGTCCCCTGAAAGCAGCCCTTCGAGGACCAAGATTCACCTCTGAGGAAGAAGTGAAGACAGTGGTACACTCGTGGCTCTCAGTTCAGCCTAAAACATTTTTAAATAAGGGAATACAAAAGCTTATTGACAGATGGATAAAGTGTTTTGAAAAGCAAGATTATGTCAAAAAATGATGTACTTGTTTTTTCTAAAAATTGATTAAAATAAATTCTACATCTAGAGCGTAGATAATTTGTGATTCACCCTTGTATATGAGGGAGCGTCAAAAAGTCGTGAGAAAACTCCCGTATCTTTTCATTCCATTTGTCTATGAACTTTCTGAAGCTGCCTTGTATGTAAAGCACCTGAAAATGGAGAGGGATCATTCTTCCTCCCCGTCCCAGAACCATCTCCATCCTGCTGGAAAATTCTTTGAATGTTTGCATTTCACATTCAGGCTAATTTTCTTTCAAAGCTATACATGAATTTGTGCCAAATCAGAAACTTTATACTTGAATGCGAATACTGTGTGAGTTCTAACATTTTTTTGGCCCATTTATATGAATGTAAAAAAAAAGCCTAACGTGCTTATGAAAATACCTCATGGAGTAAGGACGTACTTGGCAAACAAATGCAGAGAGTCCCCGTTATTTGTGTAAAAACAAGATTATTTGTTGTTGTTAAGGCTTTGGACTCAGTCTCGATTCATGAGGTAAAGGGTTTCCGAGGAGCAGCTGGTAGAGCCAATGTTGCAGTTAGCAGTCTAGTGCTTATCCTTCAACACCACACCAGGACTCCCTCAAAAGTTCTGTAGATTTGAAAAAATATTGATTCCCTGAGGTAGCAACTGTTCTGTGTCTTCTTCCCTTCTCTGAGCCCTCACTTTGGTCACACGGCCAAGTACTCGGGGTATACCTAATGATCTGTATGTCTCTCTTCCTAGCAGACTGTGAACCCATGGAGGATGGATGGCCCTGACTCAACCCTGTAGCCCCCTGTAGAGCTCAGTGGTGGGCATGGGTCTGCTGCTCTACTTGGCAGATGAAAGAAGGTGTGGACAGGCCTCCCCTCAAGTCAGTCAGAGACGGGGCCACCTGGCCCAGCACCTCTAATCTTCTCCTGTTGACTTGCATGATGGAGAGACTCTGTTTTCCTGAGTCTCCTAACAACCTCTCTCCTAGATAAGATCCATAGTCCAATTCTGAGCATCCACATTTGGGAAGTCATTGTCAATAGAGAATGTTAACTGCAAGAGAAGGAAAATACCATGGGCTTTTAAAATTCACAATTGTGAAAAAGAAGAGCAAGATGTCTCCTATCTTCTGGAGGGGCTGGGTTTCCTTGGTTTGTTGAGAGGACAAATGAGCATCGACTTCCAGCAGAAATCAGTCACATGCTTTGCCACTGGATGTTTGTTAGGGACTAGCTGGATCGCTGGTAGCAACTGTTCACTTTGCATAGACATTTACATGGGAGCCACAGCAGTATATTCAGCACTGGCAGGTTTGACTGGGCACCAACCTTGCTAGACTCTTCTGATGAAGAGCATGAGGAGTTAATAAGGTCTGCAATCAAAAGGCATGCTAACAAGTCTGGGGCTAGAACTTCAACAAAGGTGTCTTTAAAATAAAAAGTTAAAAATACTTTATTTGTGTGTGTTAGGGAGAAGTCTTCATTTTGCCAAAATTTACTAACCGTGTGAACTGGGTACCTGAGGCATTCTGAAAAGATGCTCTCTAGGTGTAATTGTCGGAGCTCCAAGCCCTCTGCAGACAGGCTGCTCTCCATCCCTGATCCCACTCTGGGAAGAGATGGGTTAGGATCTCCCAGTACAGACTTATTAAATTGCATTTCAAAACAAGCTCCCCAGGAGATTCTAATATACATAGTCAGGGTTGAGAATTACTATTTGAGAGGAATGAAATGTCAGTACAAAATATAGACAATGACTTCTATTCTCCTAAAAAAAAACGAGTGGCCAAAAAGAGGTTCCAGTGAGTTCCAGTTTACTAAGGACAACTCATACTGCTCTTTAACGTTATGTAAATTTGTCCTCACTTTGAAACAGGGCTTCAAACAGATTTATTCTGGTTCTACCTGCTGCTGAGAATTTGCCTATCCACCTCAGGTAGGCAGAATTAGAATATACATGACTCACTTGGGGATCTGGTCAAAGTGTCGATTCTAATTCAGAATATCTTGGGTGGAAATAAGGAGACCTGGTGGCACTGTGGGTTAGGCATAGGATTTAAACTAGCCACTGTAAGGCTAAACCCACTAGCCATCCCAAGGCTAAACCCACTAGCCACCCTAAGGCTAAATCCACTAGCCACCCAAGGCTAAATCCACTAGCCACCAAGAGTAAATCCACTAGCCACCTAAAGCTAAATCCACTAGCCACCTAAAGCTAAATCCACTAGCCACCTAAAGCTAAATCCACTAGCCACCTAAAGCTAA